GGATGCGTGAAGCGGGACTCCGAGGACCGGGGGTGAGGGCGCCCCGAGGCCCCGGCTCGGGGAAAACACGCGGGCGGGGGGCCCGCGCCAGGGCAGTTGCGTCCAAGACTGGGGGGCGCGGTGAGGCATCGGAATAAAAAACAGCTGCCCAGGAATGCTCGTGTCGCACTCCGCAGAAGCCGCGTCAGCCGCGACCGGGCAGTCCCATCGCGCTGCAGCGGCCCCAGCAGGCAAATTCACCTGCCCCAGAAGCAGCTCTTCTCTGTTTCTCCCATGGGCCTGGGCTTCTTACCTGGTTTTTAAATTTTGTTCAGGGCTCAGTTTCTTGCCCTTTGTAGCTTGGTTGCTTTTGATTGACATTGCAAGGGAAAACTTGCAGGGACACTCTGAGGCTTTGCAGTTCTGATAGCAACTTCAGAGATGTGAACTCGTCTCCGGTAACAGGGCTTTCGTCACTGTTGCCAATACCGGCCGGGTTTTCCCTGACCCATCTTTACTGCCAGCCTGAGGTATGTCGGGTCAGCTTTGAGCATTTGCCTATGAGGTGGCCAAGGGGAGATGTTTAATTTCTTTCAACAGCTATTTTTTGTCCCCTCCCCCAGGATAAGTTTTGCACATTTTTGGGGTTAAATTTATCCCTAAGTATTTTCTTCTGTTTGATGTTATTGTAAATGGAATTGTTTTCTTAATGGAATTTTCAGATTGTCCATTGCAAATGCATAGAAACACAGTTGATTTTGTATTTTAATCTTATATGCTGCAACCTTGCCAACCTAGTTTATTAGTTCTAATTAGTTTTTAGTGAATTCCTTAGATCTCCTGTTTCCTTGGATTTTCTGTATACAAATCATGTGTTCTGTGAATAGTTGTATTTCTTTTTTTGTTTCATTCCGATGTGTTTTATTTCATTTCAATTGCTTTGGTTAGAACCTCCAGTACAATATTAAATAGAAGTGCTGAGAGCACACATTTGTCTTTTTCCTGGTCTTTGCCATCCAGTCTTTCATACTTCATACTTAAACAAACTTTTTAATTTTTATTTTTTAGCCTAATATGCTGGAGTTTAAACGTGTTTTTATTGATTTTTTAGAGAGAGAGGAAAGGAGAGGGAGAGAGAGAAACATCAATGTGAGAGAAAAACATCAATCACTGACTATCATTTACCTTTTAAGGTTCTAGTGTTTGGTCTCTCTTCATTCTTGACTCAGATATAAGCCTACAAAGGGAGGTTTTCTGGTCTTAATACTTACAGCTGATGAAGGCTGGCTAACTGTTAGACTGGCACAATTAATAAATTAGTAGAGAAAGAAAATTTTAAAACAGAAGTACTTCAAAAGATGAAACTCTGGAATGCTTAAATTAAACTTCAGAAGCCAACACAGGCCTGGCCCCCACAGGCTGCACAGCTCAACCCTCAAGCAAGCATTAAAGCGATCGGTGATGCCATGCTCAGCCACTCAAGAGCTGACACTTTTTAAAATAGAAAAATGGGTGTTATTTTTATTTACTTTGTTTTTGGTAAAGTGATTATCAGTCTTCTGTTTGAGGGTGGTCTGGTGTCTGCACCTGTGTATAATAATTGATTTTAC